AGCTCCACCTGCTTCTACATACAATAATGAAAGGATCGCACTCTGCAAAGGTCTTTTTTCTTTATTCTACATTTTGTAAAATGCAGAAGAAAGAATAAGATTCCGCAATGGAAGTGATTGAGACAGAGTTTCCAGCGTTTGGGGGGAGGGGTGGGGGGGTTCTAGAAGTCCTCAAGATATACAGGAACCCAGTGGGTGAATCAAGCCTTCACCATCCACCCAAGACTATTTCACATTTTCTACAGAACACCTCCCTGCTAATGTGTGAAGTATGCAGTATACGTAATTGTGCGAGAATTCCATTCTGATTCTGAACCTGCACCTTGCTCCTCCCACAACTTATCTTAAGGTGTCACTTACATAGAAGTCTATGGAAAAAGTGACACCCTGGGGAGATCAAGGTGGAGGCTTTAGCGGCTATTTCAACATAGGTAATAAACAGAATAAAATGGCATCAATACTGACCAAAGGACATATTTTTAAAGGGTTAGCCCTAATATCCTTCCTAGGACCACCCCCAAGGAACAGGAACAGGGTTTTATCAGGAAGGGGGTACCTCCTTCTCCTTAGTTATTACTAACTTTATTAGGGCCTCCCCAAGGAGCAATCACAAGGTTTGTCTCAGGAATTGCATTTCCGCCTCCTCCTTGGCCATTGCTAAGCTTACTAAGACCTCCCCCAAGGAGTAGGCCCAGGGTTTGTATCATGAGGTGCGTTCTCGCCTCTATTTACTGCCCAGACATAAAACTCAGTCATACAAAGTGCACCCGTGGAGCTGTGAGATGTGTAGTCTGAAGATGATTCATGATGGAGCTTTGCTGGGAAGGGCAGGGCTGGGAAAGAGCACTGAGATGTTTTCTTACCCATCCCCTGCCCTTTATCAGATGATCTGTGATGTCACATGACCAAGCACATGGGATGCACGTGGAGTCATTCTTGTGCTGGCTCTGTACTTCCATTACTGCTCCTCTACGGTATCTTCAGAAAGCATGTCTCCCATCTCCGCTGCTGTGCTCTGCATATATGTGAGCTTTATCCCGGGGCAGTTGAAGGGCAGTGGAAACCAGCCCTAACCCCAACCCCCCTTAAAGGAACCCAGTGAGAGGTACAACTGCTGCAACCCCTGCGCATGGGCTGCTTTTAAAGGTACCCTATCCAGATCTAGCACAAAGGGCTGGTAACTCCTACATCATGCGTACAGATAATGTAGGTGCTTATAGGTACCAGCCCTTTGAAGCTTATTCACTAGCAAAGTGCAAAGTGTGCTGAACCACAACAATAAATACTGATCTTACGCTGATCTGAAGGTCTGCACTTTGCACTTATCATTGCTATCTGCCCATTAGTGTTTGAGCGAAAATCAATGGGGCTTAAAAGGAAATTTATCAACTCTACATTCACATTTCTCTTAAAAGGTCAACAGCCGCCAGGGATCTGGAGTAAATAATTTACCTTGATGCACCAATGGACAGCCCCAGACCTTTCTGAAGTCATGTAACCATCGCCTAGCTAATCAAATAACTCCCGTCATCTAACCCCAAAGAAGACATTGTCCTAGGCTCTCAGCTTATTCCTAGCATGGAACGCCAGACCGTAGAGCATATTCAGCATGTATTTATTATTTATTGATTGATTTTGCTTTGAATTAACTGCGGGTTTAGGATTCTAAAAATGCTGGTTTTAAATGATTCATTTTTGTCTTGTGGTTAGACTCGATGGATGTGTTTCTTTTAATCTATGTAGCTATGTAGATCCAGTGGGAATTTGGCAGGTTCTATGGAGACCACTGTACATAGCCGAGCCAACTAACGTTTGAAGAATCCAAAAGTACTTGGAAAAACAAAGAATTCGGCCAGCGAGTTTTGGGGG